GATTGTCTGGCCTTAGCTGTTACCCATATTCTGCCAACGCGACGGTGTTGTGCCTGACAAGTTCAAGTTGGCTCTGGTAACTCCGCTTTTAAAGAAACCTTCACTAGATAGCACTGTAATGAAGGTTCACAGACCTATTTCTAATCTCCCTTTCCTATCTAAAGTCCTCGAAAAACATCATTGCATCCAGGCTTCAACAACATCTTAAAGACAATGAACTGCTGGAAGTATTTCAGTCTGCCTACAAACAGAAACGCAGCACTGAGACCGCCCTTCTGTGTGTGCAAGACGACATTGCCAAAAGCCTAGACAACCAGGAACTGTTACTGCTGGTGTTATTGGACATGTCCGCTGCATTTGATACCGTGGACCACAATGTCCTTATTCGCAGGATGGAGCACACGCTAGGCATTACGGGTACCGCTCTCGAGTGGTTCCGATCATACCTAGGAATTCGTCATCTGCAAGTGCAAGTCGATGACCATCGATCACCTGTGTCCAAGATGCAATTCGGTGTGCCGCAAGGCTCGGTTCTGGGACCCATGTTGTTTACTGTGTAAACCCTTCCCCTCGTTAACGTCATCAGGAGCCATTCCATTCGCTTCAAAACTTACGCAGATGACAATCAAGTGAAAAGCATCCCAATTAAATGATCGGAAAACTCAACTAGAGACCTGTATCGCAGAGGTGCGCTCCTGGATTAAATCCAATTTTCTGAAAATGAATGACGAAAAAAACCGAATTCATTATTATTGGCCCGCAAATACAACGACTCAAAGTCCCACCCCTCAGCATCAACATTGGCGACAGCTCTATCAGTCCCAGCTCATCTGTGCGAAATCTCGGTGTGATTTTCGATCCATCCTTATCTCTTCAACCCCACGTGAGATCCCTCTGTCGTTCTGTCTCTTCAATATCAGCAACATCAAGCAATATCTGACTGTGGATTGTCTGAAAACTCAAGTGCAAGCACGTATCACATCCCGCCTTGATTACTGTAACTCGCTGCTTTATGGAACATAAAACATCAAACTCCTACAGTCTTTAAGACGCCTAATTTCACACAAAAATTCAAATAGAACTCTTCGATCCAGCTGTTGCTTAAGTGATCTTGCCGTCCCCAGAAGCACCACTAAAATGGAGGAAAGGTGTTTTACAGTTGCAGCCCCAGTGTTGTGAAATAAAGGTCCAGCTGAACTGAAAATTGCAAACTCAAGGGATAAATTGCAGAAAAAAAATAAACACACCTATTCAGACAATATTTTGGCTTTGAATCCTCGACACACAGGGTAGATACTACTCTTCCGCTTGCTCATGATGAAGTGCTAGGACTAGGTGCGACAATTTTCGTGGTAGTCAGCTATCGAAAACCATGACCCTATGAGGCACGGGGAAGCACTTAGCGTCTGTAGGTTTTACAAGCAATATAACTTTATTTAGTAAAATAAATTGAGAGCAACAAATCACCGACATGATTTATTTTGAGGTTTTTGAGGAATACATGGAGCAATATTTTTTTGACTCGATATAACTATTTCTACAGACCTTCCAAGTGCCCAACGGACCCAAAGGGTTAAAAATTATCCGAACAAAGAATTGACAAAACACTTTCCGTATCCTGTTGTAGAAGTGTCAGAGGCGTGTTTTGACGTTGACATAATCCAGTTGTGGAAGTGTCATAGGCGTGTTTTGACGTTGAGATAATCCAGTTGTGGAAGTGTCATTGGCGTGTTTTGACGTTGACGTAATCCAGTTGTGGAAGTGTCATTGGCGTGTTTTGACGTTGACGTGCACGTCGATCGAGTTCATCCCATAGGTGTTCTATCGGTTAGATGTGGTGATCGGGAAGGGCATGGCAAGGCATTGACGTTAGAATTGGCAAGTAAGCAGACAGTGACGCGTACTGTATGTGAAGTAACGTTGTCATGCTGGAACAACTTCCTCTGTCGATACAATATCGGAAGTATGTGACGTACAAGGATTTTGTTGATGTTCCGATTTGCTGTCCAATTCCCCTGAACCACCACTAAATCAGATCTTTGTGTGCTGGATATCTCACCCGACACAATGACACTGCCTCAACCGAATCTGTAGACCTGTCGAATGCAATTAAGTTGCAAAACGTTCATTTCTCCAACGGTAATCTCGTCGGTGAAGAAGAAATGGTGATTCATCACTGAACCAGACTCGCCTCCAGTTTCTAAGGTTCCAGTTCCGGACTCTACAACACCACCGCAAGCGATTGCGCCGATGGAAGTCTCTCAAACAGGGGCGATAACTGGCCTCCTTGGTTGAATGCCCACTTCATGCAATCGATTCCTGACAGTTTGGTCGGAAATTCTTCCCAACCAAGGGATGCGTTGTGCAGTCACCAAGGATGTGTCAAGACACACTTGGGTGGTAACTCTTGGACGGCGGAATTGGTCTGCAGGAAACGGTTCCAAAGGCAAGATATGGTGTTCTGATGGATGTTGAGATGTCAGATAACTGCAGACTGAGTGCTTCAAGGCGACCTATGGCGAACGTTTGCCTTTTCATAGTGATCGATACTGCATGCTTTTCCGCTTACTTGCACGCGCATTTTGCTTTGCATATTTTCTTTGTAACGTTTTGGCAAATATTACTCCAAACGCTTCTAAAACAAGGGAAAAGGTTAAAAAAATTGGCGCTGAAGCTGTTTACAATTACACAAAGATGACGTTTTGGAAAGAAATAGTATCTTTGTATTGTTTTTTGACGCAGTTCAATGAGTCCTATATACTCAGAACCACATATGCGGTGGGGTTTTTTAAGAGTTTAGTTCAGTCAAATGGTAAGGTGTCCTAATCTGTCAGAATGGTTTGAATCAATTTTTTTTTGGGTAGGGCGTCTATCAAACATTCGACATGCCACATATAAGGCCAATAAATGAGGAAGAAATCTGATAAAACCATTTATCTGTGCTTTCATCGTTTGACTTGACTTAAAGCAAGAAGACATGTCCATTCCTAGATTCCAATGCTGTATAAAATCCATGCAAACAGATATATACTACCCATTAAAAGTTTAGACTCACTATATGTTATGTACACATATATGGTTACATCGAAGATGAATTTCTCCACTAACTTAGGGAAACCATCTGCTAACCTTATGCAGATGAATTGCACGAGGATCATGCATCAATTTTCTGAAAGGCATGTGCAAATATCGTGCATGTGCACTGCTGCGTTTTGGTGTAAAGTTTTGTTAAGAATTCGCCAATTTCCATGATTTATTGAACTCATGAAAATATTTTTTTCATCGTTACGGATTAGTTTTACAATACATCAGTTCATGTGTAAACAGTACCTTTAAACATTATGGAATATTTAGCAAAATCTAGTTTAGAACAGTTGACTGAAGTTAGTGGCTACATTTACACTAGTGAGTCTAAACTTTTGATGGGTAGTATATATTCATGAGTCCAGCAAATGTACCACCAAATTCCTGTCTCAGAGATTAACCATAATCCTTAATACTATCAAGGAAGGATTTTCTTTATATTCACAGAAAATATTTTGAGACAAGCGGAATTAATGTCATATGGATTCTCAAAAACTGTTCCTGAAATGTGTACAATTTTAGAGGCGGCTCTGTCTGTCAAAGCATTTGCTATCTTAGCGTTGTACATGTACACAACTATGCCACACGACAAACCTAAGGACAAACTTCATTCTTTAATCTATTGCCCATTTTTTAAATAAACATGGTGAAACAAGATATACTGCAAATCTATCGGTGGAGGTTTAGGACAATTTGCCAAATATGGAGGCCTATGCCATTTGATGTTTATTGAGAAAACTATATGTGAAAGGCAGGACTTCCTCACTGATAACATTTTGTAAAATTTGGTGGGTGGGCACTTTCATGATCTGCGCAAACAAATCAGGAGGTACCAAACCAAGGGCGCCGAGAACAATGGGGAGTTGGACGACAGTGTACTCTTGAAAGGTGAGATCCGGATATTTAGCATCCTTTTCCTGAATCTTGTCAATCCCATTGCAGTCAAAAGGGACAGAAACCCCAATAACATGAATAAATTCATTGGCTTTATCAAAGTGGACAAGATCAGGAATTTTTCCTATGCTGCAAATGAGCCTATTCCAAATAAGTGTAAACGCTTCATTTTCCATCACGCCTTGGACATGTTCAGGGTCGTAGCATGGATGGACCTCGGAGTCAAAGCCACTTAAGAAAGAAGCAACGAGCCATGCCAGCATGTCGTTTAAGGTATGCTGTTTGTGCTAAGGAAGCATCCACTGATAAGGTGTTGGACAGTGTAATTGTTATTATTATCATATTATTTGGTGTTCATTTTCAATGAATATCAACAAAACTTCGTCAGATTTTTCTAGTCTTTTCTTCCTTTGCGTTCCTCCATTTGTGGCACGGTATGTGTTTAAATGAAAATATATGTAACATTTATCTTACTATTCAGTGCTTAATATCGCTCCCTACACTCGCCTTGCTTTATCTCAAAACAGTATTGTATTAACGGGCGATTCTGCGATACTTTATCTATGTAGATGTCTATGATGTGGGTTGGGGCGTTGTGGGTAGCCTAGTGGTTAAAGCGTTGGCTCGTCACGCCGAAGACCCGGGTTCGATTCCCCACATGGGCACAATGTGTTAAGCCCATTTCTGGTGTCCCCCGCCGTGATATTGCTGGAATATTGCTAAAAGCGGCGTAAAACTAAAATCACTCACTCGCTCACTATGATGTAGGTTAATACAGAGAGTGAGTTAGGTTTTGTACAGTTTTAAGCATTATTCCATTGATATCACCAGAGACACCAGAAAAGGGTTTCATCTACTGTATCCATGTGGGAAATCGAACCCGGGTCTTCGACGTGACGAGCGAACGCTTTCACCACTAGGCTACTCCACTAGGCTTTGATACAAGGAACAATCGGGTTTTCGCCGGTCATTTGCAGAAGCAAGCTATGGAAAATGGTTGTATACAGGAACAAACGCAAATGAATTAGGTTTTAATTTATTGTAAATCCACATTTATATTTTAATCGCTGATCAATATGGCGTGAAGATGTTTCTTAGTAGTTGATAAGATCTGAAACAACAAGCATGATACATGGAATATTGAAAACCCCAAAACAAGGAAATTATGACGGCGGTTGATATAAAATATCTCTTTATCTGATCGTGCTTACTGATGAGCTGACAATGATGTGTCCGTATACTTCATATACTCTCCAAAAAAGAAACGCATAGATAATATTGCTGTACGAAATTTCAAATATTTTTCTCAAAATTTGTGGTTGATCGTTATAATTTTGCCATTATAATGCTGCTTTATGTGCTTTGAACCAATGCACAGCGCAAAAACATATCTCGAAAGCTTTCATGCACGCTCGCGTTCGAAAACGTCAACTGGAGAAAAGGCGGCTCGCAATGTGTGCGCGCAGTTCTGAGTAATCATGAGCAGGGACATTGCTGTTTTCCTTTTAGACGTTGATTGGCATTTGTCAGCTAAGTGAAAGAGTATCGTTATGCCGCGACTGACTGCTGTAAGTCGAAACATTAGCACTGGACGTCTGGATGCTGGGGAGTCTCGATCTGTCGTTGCACGTCACCTCAATGTTCACCAGAGTACCGTCAGTCGTTTATGGATAGATTCCAACAAACGAATTCCACTCAAGGTCGTCCTCGAAGTGGTAGACCTCGGGTTACTACTGCAGCGGAGAGTCGGTACACCCGGGTACTTCATGTGCGGAATCGAACTGTCACAGCAACTGCAAGTGCATGTGCAGAGCCTGGTTTGAGGACAGTGTCGGCACAAGCCATTCGTAATCGTTCACGAGAAGCTGGACTTCGAGCCAGTAGACCTATCTTGGCCGTCGACGGGTTTGGCGGTACAATAACGTTCGATTCTGGAACGTTTTGCCCATAATTGCCCATAGGTTGACCGATATGGTGGTGGGAGAGTCATGATGTGGAGGGCCAATTTCACTTAATTCTAGCTTAATTTAACTGCTGTTTGGTACAGAGACGAAACGGGTTGACCGATATGGTGGTGGGAGAGTCATGATGTGGAGAGCCAATTTCACTCAATTCTAGCTTAATTTAACTGTTTGGTACAGAGACGAAACCTCAGACAGCACATGCCACTATTCAGTATCTTCAGGATGAGAGCATTACAGTGCTTCCTTTGCCTTCCAGATCACCCGACTTCAACCCCACCAAGCACTTGTGGGGTGAACTCGGCCAACGCGTACGTGTACACCAACCGGCGCCCCAGACCAACTGCCGCAAGCATTGCAAGAAGAATGGACCAGAATTCAACAAGGACGAATTCAAAGACTTATTCAGTCCAAGCTGAGACGGTCCAGAGCAGTTTTGGGAGCTCATGGTGGTCACATCAGATATTGAAGACAACCTCCAACTGGGAACGGACGCCTTCACTGATTGAACTTGTTATAAGCTATAAATATTAACAGACATTTGATCTTTTACACTGTGAAATGTGTCTACAACTGATCCAGAATGACATGTTATCGCAATTATAATTTAGTAGATTAAGGTTATTTTAAAATACACCTATGCGTTTCTTTTTGGGAGAGTATATGTCCTGATTGTTAGTAATCATGACAACGTCGCAATGCCCCATCAGATAGAGTCTTTTTTACGTCATAAATATATTTCAAGCCTTTAAACATAAAAGTGTAGCTCAGATTAAAATCAAAATGTCTTTTTTCCCTTACTGTCTCAGTCAACAGTGGTATATTAACCAAGTCAGCCAAGTCAAACACCCGATCCCGTTAGTCGCCTCATTTGACAAGCCCAGGTTGCTGCCAACTAAATCTAAGCATCAAAAGGGAAGGCAGATGAATATTTAGGTAAACAAATAAACAAACGCTTGACTAAAATATCATACGTACATTGATCAAGGAAGGTGTCGTATGGGTTATAACCTCCGTCTGTGGGAAACAAAGTTATATGTCATCAGTCTGAAACTACAACCAAACACTGTATTGTCGAAGTTGAAGGGACTTTCATTAAGACCTTGTTTTCAGACGTTGGACACGACAGCAACATGATGACTAAATAAGGTAAATGCAAGGACCAAGCTTTTACTTCGAGATAACCGTAGGTCCGATACAGTGAAGTCCAATGTTCATTTCCTTACCACATGTCTTATGTGCCGTAAACGTCAATTTACAAACCTGTCCACTGACAATAATAAAAGCCGGTGCACTTACTATAACGGTAATCGTCACAGTGTTGGAGAGTGTCATAGATCGAGTGATTGTCTCCGTTTTACGACACAGTAAATAGTAGTAATGTCTCGATTCACGATACACCAGTGCATCGCTGGCAAGCTTAGCACGATACGATGCATGATTCATTTGTTTTAGTATCGATTATAATTTGACATATATCGATAATTATTTTGATGCTGCACCGATATTTCGTCTAAAACAATTGTTGTTAAATACAAACAGGCCATTTTTAAAAGTGAAAACATGTGAGACCCTGTAAATGTATTTGGTATTCTATTCCAAAATCCTAACATGTGAGACCCTGTCAGTGTGTTTTGTATTCTATTCCGAAATCCCAACAGGTGAGAGGCTGTGACTGATTTTTGTATTCGGATACCAATGGGTGCGACTCTGTTTTGTATTCTCATCTGAATGTATTTTAGTGGTGGCTCAGCATCAGGAAAATGGATGTAACCTACACGGGTGGCTAACAGTGAGTGAGTTGAGTTTTACGCCGCTTCTAGCAATATTCCAGCAATATCACGGCGGGTGACACCAGAAACGGACCTAATACATTGTACCCATGTGGGAAATCGAACCCGGGTCTTCAGTGCGACGGGTGAAAGCTTAACCACTAGGCTACCCAACCGCCACCAGGTAGTTAACAACGCTAGCAACCATGACAGCCTCTTCCCTCTCTCATAGTGTTTTCTTCCTTTCAGGAATTAAAAAAGAGGTCGAGGTAGTTTGTATTCAGTCTTTACTTACTGTTGATGGCTCCAGAGGCTCCTGCTCCTGGGGCTCCTGCTCCTGGGGCTCCTGCTCCTGGGGCTGCGCCTGGGGTCGGTTTTGGTGCTCCTGGTGACAAGAACATACATTGAACGCCACACAGCAATATTCTAGCTATATGAGGACAGTCTGTCAATAATCCAGACAATGCAGTGATCAACAGAATGAGCATCAACCTGCGCAATTGGGAACCGATGACATGTGTCAACCAAGTCGGCGAGCCTGACCACCCGATCCCATTAGTCGCCCCTTACGACAAGCATGGGTTGCAGAAGATCGGTTCTAACCCGGATCTTCACGGGTTGTGCATGGCGACGTACGACCTTTGCGCTTCGGTAGCATTTACCGCATGTGTAACTTACAAGTCCTATCAGAGTATAGTTCTAAGGAGCTGATTGAAATAAAGCTACTACTGCTCTCTCTGAAGGCTACGAGCAAACATTTACCTAAAATTACCAAATGTATGCCTGGTACATTATTAAACAGACTTTGTCTCTGTAGGCTACGAGCAAACATATACCTAAAATTACCAAATGTATGCCTGGTACATTATTAAACAGACTTTGTCTCTGTAGGCTACGAGCAAACATATACCTAAAATTACCAAATGTATGCCTGGTACATTATTAAACAGACTTTGTCTCTGTAGGCTACGAGCAAACATATACCTAAAATTACCAAATGTATGCCTGGTACATTATTAAACAGACTTTGTCTCTGTAGGCTACGAGCAAACATATACCTAAAATTACCAAATGTATGCCTGGTACATTATTAAACAGACTTTGTCTCTGTAGGCTACGAGCAAACATATACCTAAAATTACCAAATGTATGCCTGGTACATTATTAAACAGACTTTGTCTCTGTAGGCTACGAGCAAACATATACCTAAAATTACCAAATGTATGCCTGGTACATTATTAAACAGACTTTGTCTCTGTAGGCTACGAGCAAACATATACCTAAAATTACCAAATGTATGCCTGGTACATTATTAAACAGACTTTGTCTCTGTAGGCTACGAGCAAACATATACCTAAAATTACCAAATGTATGCCTGGTACATTATTAAACAGACTTTGTCTCTGTAGGCTACGAGCAAACATATACCTAAAATTACCAAATGTATGCCTGGTACATTATTAAACAGATTATTAAACAGACTTTGTCTCTGTAGGCTACGAGCAAACATATACCTAAAATTACCAAATGTATGCCTGGTAACATTATTAAACAGACTTTGTCTCTGTAGGCTACGAGCAAACATATACCTAAATTACCAAATGTATGCCTGGTACATTATTAAACAGACTTTGTCTCTGTAGTACGCTACGAGCAAACATATACCTAAAATTACCAAATGTATGCCTGGTACATTATTAAACAGACTTTGTCTCTGTAGGCTACGAGCAAACATATACCTAAAATTACCAAATGTATGCCTGGTACATTATTAAACAGACTTTGTCTCTGTAGGCTACGAGCAAACATATACCTAAAATTACCAAATGTATGCCTGGTACATTATTAAACAGACTTTGTCTCTGTAGGCTACGAGCAAACATATACCTAAAATTACCAAATGTATGCCTGGTACATTATTAAACAGACTTTGTCTCAGGAGGCTACAAACAAACATATACCTAAAATTACCAAACGTATGCCTGGTACATTATTAAACATGCTACAAACAAAATTATGGGATATGAAGCAACATGTGTCTTAGAAGGCAACAAACGGATTATGCCTCGCAAACGTTGTAACAAGCTTAATCTAAGTAACCTACTACCCCATCTTGTAGAAGTAGTAATACGTTTTGTCTCTGTAGCCTACAACTGGCAAATGAAGTAAAAGCTTTGCCTAAGAGTGAGTGAGTGAGTTTAGTTTTCCGCCGCACTCAGCAATATTTCAGCTATATGGTGGCGGTCTGTAAATAATCGTGTCTGGACCAGACAATCCAGTGATCAACAGAATGAGCATCAACCTGCGCAATTGGGAACCGATGACATGTGTCAACCAAGTCGGCGAGCCTGACCACCCAATCCCGTTAGTCGCCTCTTAGACAAGCATGGGTTACTGAAGATCAATTCTGATCCAGATCTTCAATGGTCCTTTTGACTAAGAAGCCTACAACCTGAACCTCTGGATACCCAAAGCTTACAACCTCAGTACTGGCCAATATTGTCACACTTCTTACAGCCTGACCACCAGTTATGTAGATCCATCGCGAAGTCCATCACTTTATATTCTGATCTATTTACAGACCGCCGTCATAAAGCTGAAATACTGGTGAGTGCGGTGTTAAACAAACAAACATACAACATAAACGAATAGAATAAAACTAACAATAAAAACCGTAGTACAACGAGGAAACACACTTATAAAAAATTAACCTTATATAACGCAAATTGTTCCCTTAAAAACCTGCAGGTGTTTTCTAATATAGACGCACCATCTGTTATATCTCCATCACAGTCTCGCCTCTGTAGCCGTCAGGTAAATATTTCTCTGACGACAACAGTATTGCAACAAAAAACAACACATCAGTCACAGAAGTCACGATCACTGTGACAAGGCCTGTCACAAGTTGAAGCGGTGTGATGGACGTCATTGAGAAGGACGTACTGACAAGAGTTTTATGCTGTTCAACTCGCAGCAAAAGTATTTCGGTTGACAGAGCGGACGCCAGTAATGCATTGTAATGTGACAGATTTACAAAGGAAATAAAAGTTATTGGTTTTCTACGTCTCGATTGGGCATGAATATTCCTTGCTGGTATGCTACTGGTGTAATTCAAGGTGGCACTTATCATTGTCTTGTTAAAATAAAAACTGAATTGATGTTCTCCCAACATGTCCATCATACATGTCCTTATGTACGTGCAACTTTTATTGTACATGTATAAATTTTATGTTGAATAAAGATACTGAATATAGTCTCTATCCAGCTTAATACAAAAGTAAGTCCACATCTTTTTGGATGCAGTATACCTCAAACTACACAAGAAGTGTTTTCAGTGAATATGTCTACAATTCTAGTCTATTTTTCAGTGATTATGTATAATCACTGAGTGAATCAGACATTATACATAATCACTGAAAATTTCAGTGATTATACATAATTCCTGGTTTTACATTTTCACAGTAACATATACACGACTATGTATTTAACGAAGGAACATGAACACTACATTATGTATATTACTCTATAGATTCTCCTCGTGTATATTATCGCATCCCGTTATAAGGTTCAGCAATTAGGAATAAATAAATCTTATTTGTTGGCATTTGATTCGGTAACGCCAACTAAAGGGCTGTTGTTTCATGATTGGATAGACAAAGAAGAGGAGGAGCCTGTGTGGCGATATTTAAAGGATTTTGCATTTCTGTCAACAGTTTCGTGCATGGATAATTAAGTAAGCAGTCTATGAAATTATTATATCGATGTAATTGATTATAAGAATATATTTCGATATGGTTTTGTATATATGGAGTTAAACTGGTGTATATATGGTGTAACACTTGTATGACCTCTTCGCGCACTTGTGGATTTACACAGTGTACACGTTCATACATACAAAACATAACAATATTGAAATCATGTAACTAATCTAGTCTGGACCAGACAACCTAGTGATCAACAGCATGAGCATCGATTTTGAGATACGTTGACATGTGTCAACCAAGTCAGTGAGCCTGACCACCCGATCCCGTTAGTCGCCTCTTACGACAAGCGTGGGTTGCTGAAGATCAATATTCTAACCCTGATCTTCACATGCAGCATTGATGACAGTGTCACGATTGACATAATAACATAAGGTGAGAGATAGCGTACCGTAAGCGCGACGCAGCAAAGCCTCTTGAAGGAGGTATTCACTGGATGGGTGGAGGTCGCCATACACGGATTCACCAATTCCAAGAGATGCCAAAGGTGACAGATGTGCCCCGGGACCAAGTGGATTCAGATGACCCAGACCATGTCCAAGGGGATCCAGTGGGTAGTCGATGAGAGGATCTGGGTAGATCAAGTCAGGGTCGAGAAACAATGGGTTAATTCCTCTGAAGGGACTGCTTGGATGGCTAAGATAGGGGTTGTAGCCTCCGGAGCCGGCTGCGGAGTTGACTGCGGGCTTTGTTGCGGGTTGGCTGGGGCGGTAGATCGGCAGGCTTTGTGCTCCTGTGGCTGGTGCAGCTGTAGGTGCAACTGCAGCTGTAGGTGCTTTTGCGGAGGCAGCAGGGCCTGGTATTTTCACTAGTGACAAAGATAACACACCGTATTAAATATAACGTTATCATTTGATTTTGATTGTTTGTATGTTGTTTAATCCCGCATCCAGAAATATTACAGCTATATCGCGGCGGTCTGTAAATAGTTGAGTCTGAACCAGACAATCCAGTGATCAACAGCATGAGCTGGGATACCATGACATGTGTCAACCAAGTCAGTGAGCCTGACCACCCGATCCCGTTAGTTGCCTCTTACGACAAGCATGGTTCTAACCCGGATCTTCACGGGTCCTTATCATTTGAAACTGTTCCACGTCCTTAAGGAACGTGTCGTTAAATTTCAGTTTAAATATTATCGTTTACAAAAAATTGGAATAATGATACCTCGTACGCAATCAGCAGCTGATACTAAGAAAACAAATTGTACATATATATTGCTCAAAAGAATTAAAAGAACACAATATGTTTTCATATTGCAATAAGCCCGAAGGATGAATTATTGTAATCTAAGAGGGATCAGGATTTCGCTGACACAACAGTTTCTTTCACATCACTGTAATCTGTCACATTCAACTCATTTTTTCTCACTCACTCTCAACTCACTCTCCATATGGCATTACAAGCACAGGTTGACGGATAACGCTTTTAAATGTTAACATATTTTTAAAAACAGGAATTACTCAAATGCTTTGACGCCTCAATGAAAGCGGTTCAGTTACATGGTGGCGGTCCATTTCACTAACGAATTTAGAGGCGGTGAGGTAGCCTTGGGGTTAAAGCGTTCGCTCGTCACGCCGAAGGACCGGGTTCGATCCCACTTGGGTACAACGTGTAAAGCCCATTCCTGGTGTTCCCCGCCGCGATGTTGCTGGAATATTGCTAAAAGCGGCGTAAAACCAAGCTCACTCACTCACGCTGTCCTAAGCAAGGAGGCCACTCATAAATGAAATATCACAAAAGCGCTACAGAATTTCTATTAGTCAGAACTATTTTCTATTTCGTTACTTACTACAGTGTCCGAATACCTACCAGCATCCAGTCCTGTTCCTGCCAAGGCAATCAGAACCAAAACCCCCAAAATCTGCATCTCGAATGTTAGTATCTCTGTGAAAAGCGTTAACAAATCAAATATTACATGATAAACGATCGGGTCAAGAATAAATGGAAAAAAATCGACAAAACCATTAAAAAAGAAGAATTATCTGCTAAAAGTCTCTGGACGATTCCGACCATTATCACGTTTATGAATCACTCTGAAAAAGTTAACTCCTGTGTTAAGGAAAAAATATAATATCTTGTGGTACATTTATATTCCTTATATAAAGATTGTATTCAGCATTTAATCCACCGCCACCTATTACATTTATATTTCACACATTTAATAACATGTCTAGTAAGGATCAGTTGTCATAGGTTAGTACAGAAACACTTCCACAAGATTTAATCAAGATAGCGTGTGAATCAAATTGTCATTTATACAGGACCTAGTTCTTGCCTAGTGGTTAAAGCGTTGGCTCGTCACGCCGAAGACCGGGTTCGATTCCCTACATGGGTACAATGTGTGAAGATCATTTCTAGTTTACCCCGACGTGATATTGCTGGAATATTGCTAAAAGCGGCGTAAAACCATACTCACTCAATCATTTCTCCTGACAGTGGGACGACAGATGGAATAAGAGAGGGAATATGAAAGGAAAAGTACGACAGATGGAATGAGTGAGTGAGTGAGTTTTACGCCGCTTTTAGCAATATTCCGGCAATATCACGGCGGGGGACACCAGAAATGGGATTCACACATTGTACCCATATGGGGAATCGAACCCGGGTCTTCGGCGTGACAAGCGAACGCTTTAACCACTAGGCTACCCCACCAGATCCTACCCTAACCACCCCAGATCCCCAGATGGAATGAAAAAGAAGGCAAACTAAAGGAAGAGTACTACAGGTGGAAGAAGAAAAACAGAAAACGAAAGGAAAAGATGCGAAAGATGGAACAAGAAATTGACAAAACGGAAGGAAGAATACGGGAGGTCGATCACGAAAGATGGAACACAAAGATAGGACACAAAAGAATTTAATATCTTCGGCGTGACGAGCGAACGCTTTAACCACTAGGCTACCCCACCGCCCCCAGATGGAATGAAAAAGAAGGCAAACTAAAGGAAGAGTACTACAGGTGGAAGAAGAAAAGATGCGAAAGATGGAACAAGAAATTGATAAAACGGAAGGAAGAATACGGAAGGTCGATCACAAAAGATAGAACACATAGATAGGACACGAAATAATTTAATATCTTCGGCGTGACGAGCGAACGCTTTAACCACTAGGCTACCCCACCGCCCCCAGATGGAATGAAAAAGAAGGCAAACTAAAGGAAGAGTACTACAGGTGGAAGAAGAAAAGATGCGAAAGATGGAACAAGAAATTGATAAAACGGAAGGAAGAATACGGGAGGTAGATGGAACAAGAAATTGACAAAACGGAAGGAAGAATACGGAAGGTCGATCACAAAAGATAGAACACATAGATAGGACACGAAATAATTTAATATCTTCGGCGTGACGAGCGAACGCTTTAACCACTAGGCTACCCCACCGCCCCCAGATGGAATGAAAAAGAAGGCAAACTAAAGGAAGAGTACTACAGGTGGAAGAAGAAAAACAGAAAACGAAAGGAAAGATGCGAAAGACGGAACAAGAAATTGACAAAACGGAAGGAAGAATACGGGAGGTCGATCACGAAAGATGGAACACAAAGATAGGACACGAAAGAATTTAATATCTTCGGCGTGACGAGCGAACGCTTTTACCACTAGGCTACCCCACCGCCCCCAGATGGAATGAAAAAGAAGGCAAACTAAAGGAAGAGTACTACAGGTGGAAGAAGAAAAACAGAAAACGAAAGGAAAGATGCGAAAGACGGAACAAGAAATTGACAAAACGGAAGGAAGAATACGGGAGGTCGATCACAAAAGATGGAACACAAAGATAGGACACGAAATAATTTAACAGGATAGAGGTAACAAGGAGTTTGAAAACTAAAACTAGAAATGGAAAAAGCAACGGAATACACACTCACCACAGTCTGTCCCTTGAAGTATGTTATGTGCAACAGCCCAACTTATGCTCCGAAGATTAAGAATCCACTGGTTTTGATTGGCTGAAGTGACACAAACAAGGGTGGGGTGATTGATGGGCGAATTAGGCATAGCTTTATATGAGCAGAACATTGTCAGTTATGGGTTTTTCCATATTTGTCTTATTCGTCTTTGTCACGAATATCCCAATATGTGAGGGAACTATGTTAATACGTCCAACCCATGCTAATACACTCGGGTGCACGCACTTAATCTGACATGCGTTTGTTCCTATCTATGTCCCAAAAATGCAAATATAAGTTATTTAAGTGACAATTTAAACCTGTACGTGTCAACATTGATTGATTTAGCTTGACAACCTTCTTCATATTCATGCAAGAATTCGTTCAGGAAGGACACAATTTTTAAATAAATAAAATATCACACGCTAATATCTATAATTCTATATGTAATGCGTCCGACCTAATCCCTAGATGTTTCCATGGAAACAAGATCGGACTAAATTCATTTTGTCAAGATGCCACCAATATCATCAATTTACTGTCGGGTAATTTTGAAGAAAATTAATCAATCCCCTATTTCAACGGACTTCTTCTGAATTTGTCTGAATGTGAGAATGCCCCAAGTTTTAATAAAAAAAAATTATTATGATAAATGGTTCTCCCAAGTTCTGGCCCCTTTGGTTTATTAAAAACCTTTCACTGAAATTATATTTTCGCTTCCGTTGTACCTTTTGACATCTCAGTTATATAGTTTTAATAATATTACATCAAAAGAGGTGATGTCACAATGTCACCTATAGCAACCGACAACAAATAAACTCTACTGTATCTCGAGGTGTGATCTGTTCAATTAGGAAAGTTGATCTAGTGAAATGAAGGATAAAGCTTGAAATAAATATATGTGAATTTGGAGAAATGTGAAATCCGCGTGATGCGTACTGTATGTTGTGAAAGTGATGCTGTACGCTACGTGTTGCATCATGGGGGAAGAGACGAGATGCGTACACTATAGTGACTGAAGATCCGTGACGTAATTGACAAGGTGTATTCTGTGAGGTGAGGTGAAATTGGGTTTAACGTCGTGCTTGAGAATATTTCGCTCATATGACGACGTGCATGCGTGTGTATGTGTATGTGCGGCTGCTTGTACTAGCCCAGACTGAAGCTGGTTTTATAGTGCTAGCCCACTGAGATACCATGCCGCAGTGAAGCATGAATACCCACTCAGACACATAATACTGACTCCGAGCCGACCAGTCCTTGTTGTACCCATTAATGCCGAGCGCCAGGCAGGGACCAACAAGTACCATATTTTAACGTCTTTTGGTATGACGCGGTCGGGGATCGAACCCGCGACCTTCGGCTCTCCGGGCAGACGCACAGGCAATTTTCAGTGCACTATGTCGCGAATGAGTAGAGAGTGTTTTTGTTTGGTTGGTTGTTGTTTAATGTCACACTCACGAATATTCCAGCTAAATGACGGCGGTCTGTAAATAATCGAATCTTGACCAGGAAATCCAGTGATCAACAGCAAGAACATCGATCTACGCAATTGGGATACGATGACATTTATCAACCAAGTCAGCGAGCCTGGCCACCCGATCCCGTTAGTCGCCTCTTACGACAAGCATGGGTTGCTGAAGACCAATTCTGACCCGGATCTTCACGTGTCTTGTGGAGAGTGAGTGAGTGAGTGAGTGAGTGAATGGGTTTAGTAAAATGCCCCATCATTGATTAGTTGATCCACGTGTTCAGGTCTTGTGCAGACAAACCATTTTACCTAGGCGACTTTGGGTTGAAACGTTTGATCAGAGGACACACACTCGATGTGTCTGGTACCGTATAATTGTTTCAAACCCTTATCTCATTAAACCTAGCTATAGACGATGAATAGCATTCGGAATCAGTCGTATAGCACGTGACTCGTTTGGAATGCCCTGTGTTAACCTTTTCTAGGTCATATCATACGGATTTTGACATGTGCGATCTCGTAAGCGAGGTTCTGATTGATTAGGCGTCCTGACGTGACCTATAATGGGATGTCCTCTGATCTTAGTTTGTAGAGGTAACTAGCACCAACATCTGACTTTAATGAGAGTTTGATGGAAACTCCGCCCAATGCTGCTTTCATTGTGCATCTGTCGCTTTTACTGTTTAAATTATAGCTGTATGTTGTGTGTAAAATAGTCCCCAACAACCTCCAATTGTACACTCGTCAGATGGGTACACGAAGTATGTACGAAGCATGTCATCTGGAATGCCAGTTATCAGACTTCCATACTTTTAATAAGGGAATTTGTATCCCCATTCTAATCAATTTCTGACTGTTCCACTATACAAAACAACGTTTGATAATGCGCTCTCTCTATACATTTCCCCTCAATATTAGACAACATAGTCATCCCCTTGTTTTGGCCAACGACCAAAATGGAGTTTATCTGAAATCTGAATTGACTTCAATCGTATGTAACGCTATTCGTGACTTTTAATGCTGCAGTAGGGTAGCCTACTGGTTAAAACGTTCGCTCGTCACGCCGAGGACCTGGGTTCGAGTTCCCACATAGGTACAATGTATGAAGCCCAGTTCTGGTGTCCCCCGCCGCCAATATGCTGAGGAAATGGTTAAAAACGGGGTATAAACTCACTCATTCACGCAGATGTAGCTTATAATGTCTTTTGTTAAGACTCCGTTAATTCCTTCTTGAAATACATGTATATTTCTTTCCTACTCGCTGTTGCAGAAACACACTATTAGAATGATGTTCTCCAGTTACCTGAGTACTTTAAAAAACTTGTCAGTGGCTGTTAAAGAAAAATAGTTTCTTCATGTAAACAACTTACGAAAATATATTTCCTTTGGCGTAATAAAAGATCACTGAGCTGTGAAAGTGACAATATCGTCGATCATGAGATGACATGCTCATCACGTTCTGGCAATTGATAAAGTGACGGAGGATTACTTCAGTGTAATCTGTCAGTAATCGTTCTGTCTGTAAAGATGCCCCAGGGCCCCGTTCCTCAAAGCGATCGTAGCGCTAAGGTGATCGTAACTCCCATACTTTAACAACAGACTTACGACTGTCGTAGCGCTACGATCGCTTTCAGGAACAGGGCCCAGGTCCTTTGTCATAACTGTGGCAATGTCTATGTAGTACTGAATTTGACTAAACTTGCCGATTGTCGTCTATCAATTTGTCTGCGATCATACTTGCAGTGTGCTGTATATTGACGTAACCTTTCTACAAAAAATAATACACGTTTTGCACATGTATTGTACATAATGCTCTTGTACACACACTCGCGAGCGTCTGTGTATAGAACAAAGAGCGAGACACACATACACACACACATGCATGCATGCATACATGCATGTATACATACATGATTACATGCATGCATACATTCATGCATGCATACATACATTCATGCATGCATACACACATACATACATTACATGCATACATACACATACATGTTCATGCATGCATGCATACACACACATACACATACATACATACATACATGATTACATGCATACATACATGCATGCGTGCATGCATACATACACACATACACAAACACATACATACATACATACATACATACATACATACATACATACATACACACACACATACATACATACATACATACATACATACATACACATACATACATACATACATACATACATACATACATACACACACATACATACATACATACATACATACATACATACATACATACATACATACATACATACATACATACACACATACATACATACATACATACATACATACATACATACATACATACATACATACATACATACATACATACATACATACATACACACATCACACACACACACATACACACACACATACATACATACATACATACATACATACATACATACATACATACATACATACATACATACATACATACATACATACATACATACATACATACATACATACATACATACATACACATTAATGTGATCACGTTAACACAGAAACAGATGGTCTAGATTGTACCAATCATTGTTGACAAAGCTACAGTGTCCTTATAGAGAAAAACTGTGTCACTAAGACAATCTTGGTTCTTATCTCATATCTGATTCATGATCCGCCATTCACGTCTTGTCACCTCACGGTCGCCTTGTCGGAAACAAATGGTCACCATGTTGAAAACATTAATCGTCTGTCTGGCTTTACCGCTTGCTGGTAAGATCATCCACTGTTGCTGCGTAGATTTAATTCACAGTCGGTATACTACATATGTTGAGTAGTGAGTGAGTGAGTAAGTGTGGTTTGACGCCGCTTTTAGCATCATTCCAGCAATATCACGGCGGGGGACGCATGAAATGAGCCTCACACATTGTACCCATGAACGCTTAACCACTAGGCTTCCCCACCGCTCCAGATCTGTTGAGTAAATATATAATGTAACGTCGACATTATGTCGTTTTGCACCGAACGGGTCAATAAAAGTAGTACCCAGGGGACAAGGCGGGCATTTCCTTTGAGCATTTCTTATGTATAACAAACCCCATCCTCATTATAACTTTTGTCGCTCATGAAGTTATATGTTTAAACTTTCAGTGAATTATCTTGACCAGTTGACCATATCTCGCGGTTTTCTCGATATGTCTGTTTGAGTACAGATACACTACTGCCTCAAAGGTCACTCCCCTACACGCGTGTGCAGCGCGTGACGCAACCCGTATGAGCGGCGTTGGTCACTCATGTGGAACCCGTTGGCCACGCGTTGTACACGGGTGTGAGTGGCGTTGGTCACTCATGTGGAACCCGTTGGCCACGCGTTGTACACGGGTGTGAGTGGCGTTGGTCACTCATGTAGAACCCGTTGGCCACGCGTTGTACACGGGTGTGAGTGGCGTTGGTCACTCATGTAGAACCCGTTGGCCACGCGTTGTACACGGGTGTGAGTGGCGTTGGTCACTCATGTGGAACCCGTTGGCCACGCGTTGTACACGGGTGTGAGTGGCGTTGGTCACTCATGTAGAACCCGTTGGCCACGCGTTGTACACGGGTGTGAGTGGCGTTGGTCACTCATGTAGAACCCGTGAGTCACGCGTGTGAGACCCGTGTTACATGCGTTGTACACGGGTGTGAGTCGCGTTGGTCACTCATATAGAACCCGTTGGCCACGCGTTGCATGCGGGTGTGAGTCGCGTTGGTCACTCGTGTGCAACTCGTGACACACGCTTTTCGGACGGAACAAACTTTTGGCCAAAGGAGGACCCATGTTAACCTGAAATTGGAGGCCGTAACAGGGTGATCAATTTTTAATTATCTGATCAAGTCTTTTTAGATATGATCTTGCAGGAAACTAAGAGTGATGTGATCAATCAGACCCATTTTATATGTATTACCTTAGTTTTCTAAATGCTATGCCATGGTGTTCTTGTCATTGAAAGGTTTGTGTAAATTCACATAAACAACTGAGGCACAACTTCCTGTGAGTTTATACATGAGTGAGTGAGTGAGTTTAGTTGTACGCCACAATCAGCAATCTTCCAGCTATATGGCGGCGGTCTGTAAATAATCGAGTCTGGACCAGACAATCCAGTGATCAACAGCATGAGCATCGATCAGCGCAATTGGGAACCGATGACATGTGTCAACCAGGTCAGCAAGCCTGACCACCCGATCCCGTTAGTCGCCTCTTACGACAAGCATGGGTTACTGAAGGCCAATTCTAACCCGGACCTTCACGGGTGACATGAGGTTAGACGATGAATTGTTTTTACTGGATCCTAATTACTTTGAGATGGCTTCGGTGATTTTTCAGTTAGCACCATGTATGATCATAACATGCATATGTAAGTTTGATACTTTGATTAGGATACATGTTGTCTTTATTCTCTAAATAGCAAGAATATTTGAATATTCGGGTTATATATTTTGATGAAAACGAATGTGTCGCCTGTGTTGAACTGTTGAACTCCTTTTGACAATGTTAATTTCCTCACCTCTTTATGTTTACAAACCAATCGAAACACTTTGTTCTTTGTGACAACGTCACTATATGGCTGAAATATTGCCGGGGTGACGTTAAATTTTAACTCCTTCACTCTTTGTGACAACCTTCGTAACAACGTCACAAAAACGTCATTAGTATTTGGCCTTCAAGGACATTCCAGCTACTGTTTTGTTTGTTTGTTGTTTAACGCTCAGCAATCTACCAGCTACATTATATTTGTCAAGTAATAATAATAATAATCCAGTCTGGACCAAGCAATCTATTGATTAACATGCAATCGATCCATGCAATTGGGATACGATGACATGTGTCAACCAAGTCAGCGAGCCTGGCCACTTGATCCCCTTCGTCGCCTTTGGGTTGCTGAAGACCAGTTCTAAGCCTGATCTTCACGGGTTCCAGACAGTGTACGTGAATGATCTTGGATTGAACAGTATTTCAGTTATATCCATCGTAACGTGGAGGGCCCGACGTGATGCATGCCTTTTTACGTATATTAAATTTGACGATTTCGCTGGCGCAAAAGCTCAAGGTGAATCTGGGATTTGAACTAATGTAAAACGATCCTGCGCTACTGAAGAATGGCTTCTACTCAAGAATCTTACTTGTTTAGTTTGCCACACTCAGCAATATTCCATCCATATGAAAGCGGTCAGTAAATAATCCAGTCTGGACCTGTCACTAACCTCACAGCAACGATCTACGCATCTGGGATGGAATTGTATACAATCTGTGAGTATGGTTTACGTCGCTTTTAGGGATAATTCAGCACTACCCCGGCGGGGGACACCAGACATGAGTTTCACACATTGTGCGCATACAGAGAATCAATTCCGGGCCTTTGGCGTGACGAGCGAACGCTTTAACCACTAGTCTAACCCACCGTACTTGATCACCCAGTCCTCTCACAAGCAAAGGTTGCTGGAACTATAATAGTACCGGAATCTCCACGGAGAGATAACATGAAAACGTAAATTTCTGCCCACAGCTTCCTGGACCTTGGACTGTACTAGTTTGGAGAACGGCATCTACCTCTATACATGCTTCTCCTACACCGAATGCGTCAACGGCAGTAAAGGAGTCATCAAGTGTGCCTCCAATGAAGTGTTCAGTGCAGCCGATGGCTTGTGCATCAAGTACGTGTTGACTGTATCTGTCAGTGTTGACTCGCTGTTGTATAACTGTCTCCAGGTGTATCTGCCAGTGTTGACTGGCTGTTGTATAACTGTCGCCAGCTGTATCTGTCAGTGTTGACTTGCTGTTGTATAACTGTCTCCAGCTGTATCTGTCAGTGTTGACTGGCTGTTGAATAACTGTCTCCAGGTGTATCTGTCAGGGTTGACTTGCTGTTGTATAACTGTCTCCAGCTGTATCTGTCAGTGTTGACTGGCTGTTGAATAACTGTCTCCAGCTGTATCTGTCAGTGTTGACTGGCTGCTGTATAACTGTCTCCAGCTGTATCTGTCAGTTGTTGTCTCCAGCTGTATTGTATAACTGCTGTCTCCAGCTGTATCTGTGAGTGTTGACTCGCTGTTGTATAACTGTCTCCAGCTGTATCTGTAGTGTTGACTCGCTGTTGTATAACTGTCTCCAGCTGTATGTGTCAGTGTTGAGTCCCTGTTGTATAACTGTCTCCAGCTGTATCTGTCAGTGTTGAGTCCCTGTTGTATAACTGTCGCCAGCTGTATCTGTCAGTGTTAGGTCGCCGTCGTATAAGTAAGTGCTCGCTTATGTTTCAAATGTGTAGAATATAATTCATAACAGAGATTGATTGTGTCTGTGCCTTCAAAAGGAGTTGAAGTACTGTAAAATTAGTGTCCCTCTGAGAGGGTACGTAAGTTCCATTTAAATCAAAGTATTGTTAATTTATCATTGTTTAATAGTAGAATATGTGTTATTTTAATATTCGGCTAAATTTCTAAATAATCGCCAACATCTGAAGGCATCGGGTAAATCCAGCTTGGGTCCATGCAGGTAGCAAATGTACTGTTAGTCCCCATGGCCCCCAGTATGGTCATCTACCTTCAGTTGCTGGCGATACTCAGCCCGATTTTATATTGTATTGTCCTAATGAAAATCCAGTTTTAGAGACAGATGGTAGTTTTGATTATTGTTTCTGTGATATCCTAGTTGGTTTTACAGGTTGTTCTATTTGTGCTGTATGTATTACGACTTTGTTACTAGTTCTAGTCACGATATGGCTGAAATACTTCCGAAGTGACTATGAACTAAAACTCACTCACTCATTTACTTGTACAGCTATTATTCCCAAAGAGCCAGTTCCGGCTCCATTGTTTATTGCTCCTATGTTTCAAAGGTCATTGTCCGAGAAGGTGCTGCACTGGCTTGTAATTACAAAGGCATTGCATCCAATACTGCTATATCTTGGTTGGCTGGTTGGTTGGTTGTTTAACGCCGCACTATATGGCCGCGGTCTGTAAATAATCGAGTCTGGACCAGACAATCCAGTGATAAACAGCATGAGCATCGATCTGTGCAATTGGGAACCGATGACATGTGTCAACCAAGTCAGCGAGCCTGACCACCCAATCCCGTTAGTCGCTCTTACAACAAGCATGAGTTAATGAAGATCAATTCTAACCCGGATCTTCAAAGGTGTTGTTATATCTGATATCTAAACACGTCACAAATAAATTCAGGAAACCCATTTGTCAAGTTTCTGACACAAAACCTGACAAACATGTTATCATGATTAGATCGCTGACTTTGGGTGCTGGCGACAAGATGTCTCACTCTAAGATTATGGGTTTGAATCCCGGGTGGAACTCAACCAAAACGAAGAACCAAAATATGTCCTTTACCGAGAAAGTGTCATCCAAAATATAACATATGTTACGATTACACATAATAATGTCCATATGTCCGTAGGTTACGTAATACGTAAAAAGATTAGGAAAGAGTTTCCGCATTTTTACTGAAAGAGTTTTCGCAATTTACTGAAAGAGTTTCCGCATTTTACTGAAGAGACGAAAACATTTCATTGTTATTAGATACGAAAATTAGAGTCACAAACGTATTGAAGTCCTAGTAATTGGAAGGCCTTACAATGTAATGAAGTCATGTTCGCGAAAAGTCATGGCGTAAGAATACGAATACTCTTCACCTTTTGCACACAGAATTCCCGATTTGTAAAAGCACTCTTAAAATTCAGTTTATATTTAATTTACATTTTATTCATATTATTCAGGATTTATCTTTTGAATTTATGATTTATGGGTATTTTTTGTATTGGAAACATACTGTCTTGCACTGTGAAATATAACGCGACTTCCTTGAGTTAGGTTTATATGTTCATAACATTGCCTTCGACCGACTCCAGTTTAAGTGCACTCTGAGTCACATATTTACGAGTTGAAGTTGAATTATGATCTAAAAGAACTTCGTTAAAAAGATTTTTACGAACGTTTGTAAAGAGTAATTGAGCCCAGCTGTCACAGACTGTTCGTCTTTTTGCCTATCACTTTCAGCAGCCACGCTTGGGTTCAGCAACCCAGTAACCTTTCCTTATGTAACAGGTAAAGTATTTTTTGTTGGAAAGAAATAAACTTCCACACTTAAACTGCAGTGATCTATTATGTTAATTTGTCACAGACAGTTTTAGTTTTGAGTTCAAACCAATCAATGACTTCTTTGTCGCAGTACATGTCACCTCTCTACATATATATTACATGAAGTCTTTTAAAGAAACGTTTAATCATCCCTTCCAACTTTACCCTAAAGCTTAACAGTTCTAGCAGCCTCTATTCCTGAACTACACTAAATCAGCGAATAAACGAAAGGCATAACTACTGGATACGTTTGGGAAAACACTGAACGAAACAGAATTGGGAACATACAGAATTGGGAACATACAGAATTGGGAACATACAATTGCAATGAAATAGCAATCAGAAATAACAAAATTGTTTACATAATCCTCAGAAATCAAAGAGTCCATCATTCGACTGCGTTTATACCATACTTCCTTATCATTAGGCTAACAACTTAATAACCTCCAGTAATATTTATTATCAATACTCATTAAAAATAATTAGTTCGTCACGCCAAAAACCTGGGTTCGATCCTTATGTAGTAACGATATGTGAAGCCGATTTCTGCTGTCTGATGTCTGTGATATTACTATAATATTGTTAAAACGGCATAAAATATTACTCGCTTACTCAATCGCTCTCTCCACGACACAACTGTTCAAAATATTCAACTATTGTGAATGTTTTGGGGCCTGTTTGAGAAGTTTGTTCATGAAAATATTTCTCAAAATATCTATGAAGGAAAGAATAGGAATCTACTGTTTTGAGCGAGTATGGAGTCCGTAGGATGAGAAATTTAATTGTCCAGATTTTCTATTTTCCGATTGACATTTGCATGAAATGTGACAGGAACAGCGACATGTTTATAGCATGTGAGCTGGAACAAAGACACGCACTGTTTGGAGTTCTGTTGATTGTACAACACCTGAGCATGTGTCATTGAGTACTACGACTTCAAAACATCGGAACAAATGCGTATTTAATCAGGTTCTGCGTTGATAAACAAATTGTTGAAGTTTTCTTCGGGATGGGACTTTAGGATCGGTTATTCGTAATAAAAGTAATAGAAATAGAACCTCTGATCCAATGAAAGCTTAAGCGTAATTATGATGGTTTGTGTTAATAGAGTGAGTTTGGTTTTATGCAGCTTTTAGCAATATTCCAGCAATATCACTGCGGGGGACACCAGAAATGGACTTCACACATTGTACTCATGTGGGGAATCGAACCCGGGTCTTCGGCGTGACGAGCGAACGCTTTAACCACTAGGCTACCCCACCGCCATCTGTGTTAATAGAGTCAGCTGAACAGTATTTATGATTCTAGTGCGAGATTTTGTGGTCTGGTGTCCGGACACAAAGTAGCACAACATAGAATCCTAGATGAATATTAGGTAAGAGCTCCAGCGCCATGCCAGTCGACTTGTTATAAACGCAGCTTATGCTTACAGACCCGCGGATGATTCCTGGCCGTGCCAGGATGTTGTGGACTGCAAGAAGCTCCCGGACAAACGCTACGCCGACACCAAAGGAGGCTGCCAAACCTACTACACCTGTCAGAACGGCTACTTCTACGGTCACAACTACTGTCCAGAGGGTAAGAGTCCATAGCGGGTCATGAAGCCACTTCGATGTCCGATGCAATTCCCTATATTGACGTTCCTGAATTATTCCAGGTGAACAAATGACTAGACTTAGCATATGTTTATGACGGGTGCCATCGGTGGGGCAGGATACGCTCACCTTTTCGCGAACACCTGGTATCATCACTATTTCATAGTGATTCATAAACACATGCTGTCATCGTATCGCATGGTGACAATCACTGGATAGCCTGGTTCAGACCCGATTTGTTTACAAACAACATCATACAGCTGTAATACTGCTGAAATAAATATCTGCTCATGATATAGTCACAATTGTACAATCAACTCTGCTTTTGGCAGAGATTTTCTATGAATGTAACAATCCCCAAATATTGGGTGCTCCATGTTCCTTGAGACTTCACCTACTTGTCATCTGTCTGGAAACACTTGAGGTTCTTGAGAGGCATATAGAAGTTGGTATTCAAGTATAAGACAAAATATTATGGATGTCAACTTCTTCTTTATTGTATACAAAACGTTTCTGGGGTTTTCCTTGCCCCTTCGTCAGGTGAATGTTGACTAATATATATACAGGATATATATACTAGTAATGTACATGAAGCCAGGGTTAATTTAAGCATGTACCGTATTTCCTCTAATAAGCGCCGGAACTCTATTAAGCGCCAGGATTCAAGCAGCCATTTAAGAAATAAGCGCCTGGTACGTTTTATAAATGTATTCTCCCTTGATCAAAAAATAGATTTATTGAGGACTGGCCTCTTTAGACATAACTTCACTAACAATTAATCACAGCCAGTAAACGCAATAAGCTCCGGGCCTAACCTACTTACACCACGTGGGCGCCGAATGGACTCGTCCATTGCTTGTTGCACGTGCGTTTCCTGCACCGCCACGGTTGTTATCCACATATCAACCTCTGCACGTGCAGATAACATATTCGCCTCAGTAATGATCCACGGTTATGTCAACTTAAACTGACAGTCACAATACAATTACAGAAATACTATTCCAATGCACCAACATTCTCGACAGTTAAAACAATACTTGTCATGTAAATGTACCTGGCATTGACTGTTTTGAAGTGTAGGATATAACATGACCCTCGGGCATTATTGAAAAATAAGCCCGCTTGCCGAAGGAAAAGGGCTTACCTTTCAATAATGCCCACGGGTCATGTTATATCCAACTTATAAATAAACCTACTGAAGATATAATTTCAATATTTGGTACTTACTGTTGAAATCAACTGGGATGAGACTGGCAGCCGACACCTTGCCTTGCACGCGCTACCCGTGTCCTGTACGTGCCCTGCCCGCACTACCTGTCTTGTGAGGAACACACGGTTCATGCTGATAGGCAATCGTATTCTTCACAGCGATCCTTCGTAGCCTAGTGGATAAAACCGCCAAGCTAGAGAGCGAAGGGTTGCGGGTTCGAAACCAGATATCGGCACTATATGTTGGAAGTTTTCAATAATGTGATGTCTTACGATCGCATTCAGTGATAGCAAGAGAAAGTTATATCAATCTTCAAAACAAGTAATATTGAAGTAATATCCCGGTGCAGAGGGACAATATTGAAGTAATATACCGGAGCAGAGGGACAATATTGAAGTAATATACCGGAGCAGAGGGACAATATTTAATTAAATTACATTTGTGATGTCATTCCATTGTCAGGAATGGAGCGATGTGTACCAGTTTCAAATTAAAGCCTTCATTTTGTCATTTTGACATTTAATTTTGATAACAGAAATATTCCCAATACTTTGAATGCAATTTACGTAGGGTAATGTATTTCTGTTATCAAAATTAAATGTCAAAACGACAAAATGGAGGCTTTAATTTGAAACTGGTACACATCGCTCCATTCTTCAAAAGTTATTTAATTTTGATAACAGAAATATCCCCAATACTTTGAATGTAATTTAAGTAGGGTAATGTATTTCTGTTATCAAAATTAAATGTCAAAATGACAAAATGAAGGCTTTAATTTGAAACTGGTACACATCCCTTGCCTTGCAAGAACAATAAAGTGACGTCACTGTCGGTTTATAACTACAGTTCCACTGCTTTTGCACTGTCATTATCCATTGTCCGCGTTTTACATTGTAGCTCGATAAACAAATATTTCTTTCTCGTTGGACGATAAAGGAAGCAGCATTAATACGTACAGTTGGTTGTGGTATTGTTTGCAGTTTGTACCACGTATATTTTAAGCCACCTTTGTTTACTGAAACATAATTTTACAATAGGTATGTATTACCGATAATAAAAGAGGTGGGGTGAGGTGAAATTGGGTTTTACGTCGTGCTTGAGAATATTTCGCTCATATGACGACGTGCATGCGTGTGTATGTGTATATGCGGCTGCTTGTACTAGGATAATAAAAGACGTGTGCAAGTAATTACAATGAATTGAGATCTACAAGATGTCTTATTGTGGCCGAGCTGATTTTAATTCTGGTTTGTAAATATGTTAGTAACATCGTTTACTTTGTCGAATTTCTGTCTCAGCCAGTGCCTGTCTCAAGTGGCTATTGTGAAGTTAGTAATATAAGTGAGGGGTAAATATATTGTTATGTTTCATATACTGCTCATGTCATATAACCAGTCTAAGTAAACTGCTAAATTATTATGTATATTTTACTAGGACAATGTTGGATAATGGTGTTAGTTCACATATTTCAGGAACCGTGTTTGATGAGGAGCGCCAATTCTGCAACTGGCCGGCAAATGTTAAGCAGCCTTGTGGCACAGCGGCATAGCGTGGATGTATCTAAATACTTGAGTTTTCAATAAAATTGCTCCAATACTGATGACGGACCGATTTTTGTTCGTGTTTGCTTACAAAGAAAGTATAATAACTTGTGTATGTGTTCTCCCAATGTGTTATTGAACACATTTGAATTTTACACTTGATTAATTGATTACCATAGTCTAGTGGACAAGGCGTCAGCCGGAGAGCGGAATGGCGGTAGTTCGATCCCGACAACGTTGTACCAAAGAAAGTTAAAAAATGGTACTTTATGTAACTCCGGCGCTCAGATATAGAGATATTAAACTGGGGCAGACGGCCATGTGAGTTTGGCTGGTTGGTTGTTGTTTAACGCCGCACTCAGCAATATTCCAGCTATATGGCGGCGGTCTGTAAGTAATCGAGTCTGAACCGTACAATCCAGTGATCAACAGCATGAGCATCGATCTACGCAATAGGGACACGATGACATGTGTCAATCAAATCAGCCAGCCTTGACCACCCAATCCCGTTAATCGCCTCTTATAACAAGCATTGGTTACTGAAGACCAATTCTACCCCGGATCTTCGCGGGTGAAGTGTGTTTGGAGCCAGTACACAGCGTCTAATGGATGTATCCGAGTTACGCTATGACATGGTATATCAGCACACTATAAAGAGATAATTTACATGATCAGCAGCCACACGTATGTACATACGTACTTGAATGCTAGTGGCTAGTGGAATAATCCAGAATGGAATTTTAACCTCCGCTCACCTCACCTTGCTTCACGACACCTCCCCTCTCCTCAAATTACCTCACTTCAATTCACCTATTTCACCTCTCATAAACTACCCTACCTCACCTCACTTCACCTCACCTGACTACATGTCATCTCACTTGACCTTACCTCACCTACTTCACCTTACTTGACGTCACTTCACTTGACCTCACCTGACTGCATCTCACCTCACTTGACCTCACCCCACTGCACCTACCTCACTTGACCTCACCTGACAGCATCTCACCTGACTGCATCTCACCTCACTCCACCTACCTCACTTGACCTCACTTAACAACATGTCACCTCAGTTGACCTCACCTAACAGCATCTCACCTCACTGACCTCACCTCACTGCACCTCACCTCACTGCATCTCACCCTACTTGACCTCACCTGACTTGACCTCACCTCACTGCACCTACCTCACTTGACCTCACTTAACATGTCACCTCAGTTGACCTCCCTGACAGCATCTCACCTCACTGACCTCACCTGACTGCACCTCACCTCACTGCATCTCACCCTACTTGACCTCACCTCACAGCACCTACCTCACTTGACCTCACCTCACTGCACCTACCTCACTTGACCTCACCTGCCAGCATCTAACCTCACTTGACCTCACCTGCCAGCATCTAACCTCACTTGACCTCACCTGACAGCATCTCACCTCACTTGACCTCACCTGACTGCATCTAACCTCACTTGACCTTCACCTGACAGCATCTCACCTCACTTGACCTCACCTGACTGCATCTAACCTCACTTTACCTCACCTGACTGCATCTCACCTCACTTGACCTCACCTGCCAGCATCTAACCTCAGTTGACCTCACCTGACAGCATCTCATCTCACTTGACCTCACCTTACTGCATCTCAACTCAACTGACCTCACCTGACTGCATCTCACCTCACTGGACCTCACCTGACTGCATCTCACCTCACTTGACCTCACCTGACTGCATCTCACCTCACTTGACCTCACCTGACTGCATCTCACCTCACCTGACTGCATCTCACCCTACTTGACCTCACCTCACTGTATCTCACCTCAACTCATCCCACCTCACTGCATCTCACCTCACTGCATCTCTCCTTAACTCATCCTACCTCCCTGAACTGAACCTCAACCAATAATTATGCAGCTACTTCGGGTTAGATTCCAAACACATGAAGCCCTTAAGGATGTCCTGGGCGTTAGCCAATTAAGGTATTATTAAATAAGGCGAAATATTCTTCATGCAACACTTTTGTCCTATACACACGCCATGATTTCACTCGTCACAATTCTAAACATTTGTCACGATCCTGCACCCTCGCCATAGTTATACATATCCCTATACTGGAAAGTCCATAACGCTCACATGAAGATATGGAGTGAGTGACGTTTGATTTATCGTCGCAGAAAGATGTTTCAGCTATGTATCGACATAACCATGTTATAACGGATATTCAACAAAAGGAGTTACAACTAGTAATATTTTATACCTTTAATTAGATAAATAGTTAAAAGTGGCATCTGACTGAGATTTGCACCGGTCCTTAAACGTCACATGACCAGAGATTCTGTTAGATGATTGGCCAAAGCGCCCTATATTGTCCATGACGTCGTTTACGATGACAAGTGAAACACAATAATATCCGCCTCTATTCTCAAGACAATCCCAGATACCACAAGGCATACCCCAGGGCAGAGCCAAGTTCGTTGTGAGTGGTCGGTGGTTATGGACAGTCAAGCATATCCCAGACATGTTCGATGGGTGACAAGTCTGGACTGAGGGCTAGCCATGGTATGTGTTATATTCTCCTGTTGAATCGCAGCTGGCTGTTCACGACATATTGGATCATATTCATAGAACTGACCATGGTTACTATTGACAACAATGGAGAACCCACTCGTGCTCATTTGACAAACAGGTTGATTGCAATATGGTAGCCACATAGAAGCATGTCTTCTGTTAAATATACAGGTTATGAGCCTTGAAAAGATTCTTCACCAATTCACACTTAATACACAGGCGGATCCATAGTGGGGAGGGGTGCAGCCCCCAAATGCTGCATTCTCAAAATGCTGCATCCGTTACTTTTGCACGGTACCCTGTAACAGACAGATACACTACGCGTTTCTGATACTATCTCAAAATGCTACTGCGACCGGAATTAATTCTGTTTTTATTGGTACAACAGGTAGGTCATCTACACAAGCAGAATCAAGCATTGGACGTTTGCACATTCTTGTACAGAGAGCCTCCCTTTGGCAGCCGGAGAGTTCGTGAAGTTCCAATCCCAACTCTGATTATTTGTCTGTGTTAGACAGAGGAATATTTAAAGTCGATTACACTTTCTTTTATACAGATTCTAGTATTTTACTTCCCAAATATTTTTGCTTACATTTGACCACTTTCTAAAATGGCAAGTATTTCATCGTATATTTTGTCTAAATTATAACCTGCCAGGCTTTGATGTAATCAGTTACATCCATCTACGTTGTCACTTTATATCATTGTCCTCCGATGATGGATGACCTGGTGGAACCCTTTTGTAAACATTCCCCAATGTGTGAACGCCGTGATATTTTGCCAAGGCGGTATCTGGTTTGCAACAGATATATTACATGAAACACTAAAAATTTGCATTAGAAGAGGAATATTTAAAGTCGATTCTTTTAATTTTCAAATGTTATTATCCTTGACCTCTCAGACACCAATCCCTAACATCCGATGATGGATGACCTTGCAATGAACTTTTTCCATCCGGATGGACAAATGCAACATTCTTGATAGGACTGACTGACTGAGTTTGGTTTTACGCCGCTTTTAGCAATATTCCAGCAACATCACGGCCGGGGACACCAGAAATAGGCTTCACACATTGTACCCATGTGGGATTCCAACCTGGGTCTATGGCGTGACGAGCCAACGCTTTAACCACTAGGCTACCCCTAGGCCCCTCTTGATTGGAATGAAACGTGACAAGTAAGAAGAGGAAGGATCAATCAGTCTATCTGGGCAATATGTTCAATGACCATACTGTGGATGGTCAAGCATTTGCATACTAAGGGATGCAGGCTAGAGCAATACTTCCTAGTGCCCATGTAAAGGACAAACTACGGGCAGAATACAAATTAGACTAAGAAAGCATCCGGAGTTAAAAATGGTCAAGACAAAAAATTCTTATGCTGTTCTTCTTCTGGTGTCAACTGGACGAAACAGAAAGTTCTGGGTGTTGACACACTCACACAAAGATTCATGTCAGACAAAAGATTCCATCACCCTCACTCTTCCGTCAGTCGCATTAATGTACCATTTATAACAGGCGCGGTTTGATAAGCGTGGAGGCTCTTCATGACAGAATTTATTTATTGTTCATTTTCGCAAGCGTATATCTGTTCCATGATTCTCTTTTGACATTCCACCGTACAGGTGCCAATGATGGGATATAATCTAATTGCTTCAGTTTGACCTTACTAATGTGAATGAATTAATGTTGATTTGTGTTACTGACATATTGATAATACTTATATTGACTGCAGTGTCCTATGATCATTATGATAATTTATATACGTTTAAAATTTAATCTGTCCCTATTGACAGCAATGTGATTGACAAGATTCCGGAAAAGCATTATATGCGGGCTTTGCCTTTGAAACATCTCGCTTGCATCCCAAGTACACTGTCGTCAGACTCCCCATTGTTCTCGGTGCCCTTGGCGAAGATCAGGGGAGTGCCCGGGTTCTCCACCGGGAGCACAGCCCTTCTGACTCTCTGGGTAATGCAGAAGGCTGCAGTGTTGGGGACTCACCATACTCTCCGGGAAGTTCTTGGTGATTTCGACTAGGCAACACTTCCTGAGAGAATTCCCATGTCTAGCCTGAGCTGATGATGAACCTAACAAGTCTGACTGTCAGGAACACTCGAACCCTCCTTGCTGCATGAATGTGTTATATCTGTAAAATGCTGATGATGAACATACCAGCCTGACTGAATCTGCATTTTAATATGTGAATAATGCAATAACATTCTTGCACTTCTTTGACTGGCATTCTAGAAGTTGGGTAGATGAATAATGAGGACTATTTTTATGGATATACAACTTCTTTATTCTCTCTCTCAGTATCTTCGTATGAGCACCACGAGCTGCAATCACTGCACGGCATCTCCTGGACAAGAAACGGATAAGACGCCGGATTCTTTCCTGGGAATGGCCTCCACTCCTCCTGCAGTGCAACGCCGAGCTGTTGCAGCGTCTGTGGCGGCGGCTGACGTTGACGCACGCCGTCGAATCCAGAGTATCCCACAGGTGTTGCGTTAGGGTTGAGGTCTGGTGTGATTTAGAGGGCTATGGCAAGACATTGACGCTGGAATTCTGCAGAAAGTTCATTGTTGCAACGCAGTATGAGACCGGTGTCTGGGCTGAAAAATCTGTGTCTGTTGGTCAATCAATCGAGAAGGTGAGGCTGTAATACGTGGTTGATGTAACGTTGGGCTTTCAGGTTCCCTTCAACGATCACCAAGTCTGATTTCTGGTTGTATGAGATGGATCCCCAAACCATAATCGCTTTCCGCCAAATCTGTCCCCTGTCGGACGCAGATGGGCGCAAAACGTTCATGACGTCTCCTATACACACGTTTTCTTCCGTCGTGATGTTGCAAAGAAAACGGGATTCATCAGAAACCAGATGCGCCTCCAGTTTTGTAAAGTCCATATCCTTACGTTGTTGCACCACCTGAGTCGTCGGCGGAGATGTAGGGGGCGTAGTACAGGTCCAACAACTGGTCTACAGGCACGTAAACCCGCTTCTTTCAGACGGTTCCTAATCGTTTGAGCTGACACTCTCCTCAAACCTGGTATTTGTGTGGCAGTCACGGTTGGTAGGGCATGCCGATTACGCAGGTGATGGACCCGGATGTACCGATCTTGAAGGGGGGTCGTGATTCTGGCCTTCCACCTCGGGCGATCGTTGGTCAAATTGAAGTTGTTGTAGCGGCTCCAAAGTCGGGATATCGTTGTTTTGTGAACATTTAGGTGCCGTGCAACAGTTCCAAAACTTTCTCCGGCTTGAACACGACCAATGGCGATATTTCGGTCGGCAGCACTCAATCGTGGCATTTTTCACACAGCTTTTCATGCGACAAATGAATGAATATAATACGAAAGCACATGGGCTTTATACACCCCCTACATTAACTGCCATTTTCATGATTTGCATGTGTTTTTGTGCGAAGTCACCTATATAGGCAACGTTTCGACATAGATTCTTATTTAGTTGTCAAGCAAGTGGTACATGGAAAGCTTCCCAACAGTACCTTTATCACTTATGTAAACAACCTATGTACATCATTCCCTACTGGCTGCCCATCAACATCCTTAATCTCTTACATATACAACCATGTACATGTTCTTTACTGGTTTCCTTTCAACCTACTTAATCCTGTGTTATCAACCTCTTCTATTGTATAAGCAACTCATTTTCGCCTCATCCCTCATCTATTGTACAAACATATCATGTATATATATCACCCAAAATTACTTCCCATGTACCACTTGCTTGACAACGACATTAGAATCTATGTCGAAACGTCGCCTATATAGAATAAAGAAGTTGTATATCCATAAAAATAGTCCTCATTCATAATACCATTCTTGTAATTGTAGTTTTGGGTCTTGACTGTACTGGCCAGCCTAACGGAATCTACGAGTACTCCTGTTTCTACTATCTGGTGTGTTTACGGGGGATAGCCATCAACATACGATGCAATACTACTGAAGTGTTTGACCCCGACCACCAGCGATGCGTTAAGTATGTCATCAGAAAATCATTACTTCATGAGCTGTTATATGATTGTAGCTTTCATCCAGAAATATGTTTCCTAAAACATGTTTGCTACACATGTTCACGCCTTAACATAAACAGAGCCCGTGAAGATCCGGGTTAGAATTGGTCTTCAGCAACCCATGCTTGTCGTAAGAGGCGACTAACGGGATCAGGTGGTCAGGCTTGCTTATTTGCTTGACACATGTCATCGTATTCCAATTGCGTAGATCGATGCTCATGATGTTGATAATAGGATTGTCTGGTCCTGACTCAATTATTTACAGACCGCCTTCATATAGCTGGAACATTGCTGAGTTCGGCGTTAAACAATAACTAAAAAAAACACAAAAAGACATGAATTAAAAAATGATGTTTGTATTCATTGGATGGTATGCGGCGATATGTTTTGACGACGAATATCCGTCACAGACCACCTCGACCGCGATACAATAATCAGTACTGGTCGATAAAGGTATGTGTAGTGTGTAGGATCTTGGCGTGACTCTCACTCGTCTACTCACCTAGCAAAAGAAGGCCTGTCCTGGCCTTAACGTATGGCGTACATTAATATATTGTACCATCGACTGTTAACAGATTATTGTTACCAGACAGTCTGTGCCAGAGAGCAACATGACACGATAAAATCCATGAACGTCTCTATTCTTAAATAGGTTACTGTGATTGCATTGTGTCTATACTGTGTCTATTTTGGGGGAAGTAATGTTCACTAGGTCAGTTAACGGCAGGGTTGTCTCACCTGTGCCAAGTCTTTATCTGTAGTCATAGTCAAAATGTCAACTCCAGCGCAAAACTTATCAGCCGTTTAAAGCAATTCCACATACATAATTGGGTTACCCTGGAGCTATGGAACCAATTCCAGGGAACCTATTGAAAGGGATCATTATCACGGATGCAAGTTATGTTTCTTAGCTGCGCCAGGATCCGGCGCTTAAGGTTAAATAAGTGCAGAGCAGTCCCTAGAGACCAGTCGAAGATTTGAATCCCGGCTTGATTCTTGTCTTTCGCTCTTCATCACCTTACCCGAAGTGAAGTCACCGTTTCCTGTCCTCCCCCATTTTAAGTCGGTGGTGGGATAGCCTAGCGGTTGAAGCGTTCGCTCTTCACGCCGTGAACCCGGGTGCGTTTCCCAATATGGGTACAATGTGTGAAGCCCATTTTCGGTGGCCCTCGCGGTGACGAGCGAACGCTCTAACCACTAGGCTACCCAGCCGCCACTGGTGGTGAGAATGTTATTGTGTGGGCGTTCAACAACCAACGGGGGCGTTGGGGTCGCGTTTAAAGCGTTCGTTTCCCCACATGGGTACAATGTGTGAAGCCCATTTCTGGTGTTCCCTGCCGTGATATTGCTGGAATATTGCTAAAAGCGGCGTAAAACTAAACTCAATCACCCAGTCATCCTAACGACAACCATTGCTTTTTGTACCTCAATATACAAAATCGAAATTCTTCTTTTCTTGCTCTCAACTGTATTTTCACTCCTGATAGGCTCGGTACCGACTATTGGCCGTGCACGGATGTGAAGAACTGCGACGTATTAGCCGACCACAGATACCCTGACTACCAGAACGGCTGCCACACCTACTACACGTGTCACAACGGCTACTACTACGGGCACAACTTCTGCCCCGAAGGTAACTATCCTTAACAGATATTTAAAGACCTGAGCCACCCTAGTGAGATTTTACGGCGCTTTCAGCAATATTTCAGCAATATCACTGGACACCATAAACGGGCTTCACATATTGTACCCATGTTGGCATTGAACCCGGGAATTCGACGAGAACAGCGAACGCTTTGACCTCTGTATTTATTGCTTAAAGTAAGTGTATGAAACCCCAGCCAGTCATCATGGCTGGTAACTTCAAAATGTTACTAGCCCAAAATGGATTTAACCAGACCAGACGATCCAAAGAAAATAACTCAATTCTTAGATACAATGAATAATTTAATGAACCTGAAACATGTATTTACTAACAATCTATTCACAACAGTCATTTTCGGAGATTTTAAGATGTGGTGAAATTTACTTAGATGTATTTAACATGTTATCTCAAACTTTTTACCAGACCATCGGGCTGGCTAGCTGTAAATTAAGACCGTCCGTCAGAAATCTAGCCCGTATCGGGCGGTCGGACAGGCCTTATTTCATACACTGCTTGAGGCCATATCAACATCATGGTCTCTTTTCATAGATTCAAGAAATAATGTTCAGCATTCAAAATATACAGTATAATTGTTCCAATGACTAAATTGCTGAATTAGCATAAATAACCCGTGTATTTTATGTTCATAATGTTATAATTGCCATAGTGGTGGGTTAATATAAATTTAGTTTCTAATTCAATGCAAACCCAAAGGAAGTTACTTCAAAGAAGACACTACAAAAAAAACCCAATGATTCGAGGAATTGTTTTTGTTACGCTACGATATGCACGATTCATGTCTCATGGCTTTTAGCGAGGTATTATACTACTCACACTTTGCTAAGGATCAAATCATTGCTTCAACACAAAACTATGATGTGGGGTCAAATTTGGTTTAAATATCTAAGCTTCTTGTAAGCATCGATCCAAGTTTTCAGTATGTCACTGCATCTTGTGGATCCCGTACCTGCTATTGACAGGTGTTGTGTACTTGTCAATGACTCGTTCCATGATTTGCAAAATGGTTGGTTGGTGCCATGAAAACCATTTTTATGGTTACTCATGTATCAAGTGCATTATGTTAGATTAACGTTTTTCATGCCAATGTTGCCATATGGGAACATGTCATAAAAGACTTTGTAACTTTTTTTATTCCTGAGGATAAATTAATGCTTTTTGACCATATTGATCTTAAGATAATTGCCAATGTTCTAACATTTCAAAATCATACTTTGAAGTTTTTTTAAAGAATTGACCAGGGTCCCAAAATGCCAAAAAACGGGTTTTCAACCGAAAACGTTCTATAATTTTTTTTACAAATACAATTGCATTATTTTAAAACTTTTTTTCAAATGTCCTTACAAACAAATGATGTAGGTATAAAATGGCAAAGACATTTTATCATGGTAGCAGGAATTAAGGTCAAAATTTTGATTTGAAGTTAAATGTTCCCAATCATTGGCAGGATCATCGTTAAAATCAATATATTCACATGAACTGCATAAATAGATAAGAAAAACAACGAATGATCTGTTCAATTCTTAATTTCGAATGATATATCTTCCTTCTTGATAAAACCAATGCATTTATTACTGTTTTTGAATTTTCTGTCCCTTTTGACAGCAATGTGATTGGCAAGATTCACGAAAAGCATGCTAAATATGCGGATCTCAGCTTGGAAAGGTCTCGCTTGCATTCCAAGTATACTGTGATGAGCCTCCCCATTATTCTCGGTGCCCTTGGTTTGGTACCTCCTGATATCTTGGCGCAGATCAGGAGAATGCCCGGGTTCTCAACTGGGAGAGGGGAGTCTACATATTCTCCAGAAAGTTCTTGGTGGGTTCGACTAGGTAGCGTTTCCTGGGTTGCATGTAGAATGGGCAAGGGCCGTGGGCTGATGATGTGCCTTACCAGCCTGACTGTGCCAGGATTACCAGGACCCTCTTTGCTACATACTATTTTTAATCTGAAAAACATAATAATAATATATTACTATAGCGCCTAACTTCCTCCATCCATACAGGTTGCTCAGTGGTAATTTGTACAGGAGATATCAGAAAAAGTCATTCAGAATAGCTAGTCAAAGGCTTGCTTGAAGATGTGTGTCTTTAAGAAAGTCTTAAATAAGGTTTATAAGAGACAGTCCTTATAGGAAGAGGTGGATCGTTCCACAGTAGAAGAGCTGAGACAGAGAAAGCTCTATCACCCATTGATGATTTCATGATTGGAACTCATAGGCGAAGATGGTCGACAGAAGGGGTTGGTTGGTATATCTTGACAAGGCTCCTGAGATAGTGACATGGATGATTGATCATAGACACAGTTTTGGGCTAGAAGAAATATCTTGTACTGAATCATGAAATTAACGGGCATCCATTGGAGAGCCTTCAGGATAGGTGTTATATGCCCAGTTTGCGGCGTGCGCGTTGCAACCCTTGCTGCTGTATTCTGGATTCGCTGTAACTTTGTGATCAGGGATAAAGGAATGCGGAAGAAAAGGGAGTTACAATAATCCAGTCGTGACGTGATGAGAGTCTGCATAAGACGTTTTGTCGTTTCATGGTCAAGACGATGGCGGATTTTACTGATGTTGTGAATGTGGAAGAAGCAAGTTTTGCCTAAGTTCTTGACTTTTTCAAGGGACATGCTGGATTGAAATATGATTCCAAGATTTCTTGCAGATGGAATGGTTCCGACATTGCTGTAGCCAATGTTAAGCAACAGACCTGCAGGCACTTTCAAAAACTTCTGTTTAGAACCAAGTAGTAGAAATTCCGTTTTACTGTCATTTAATTTTAGAAAATTCACATCATCCATGATCTAACCTTGCTCACACAGACTTCAATTTGACTGATTCCAGTAGGTGGATTCAGATGGCTTTATCGATATGTAGATCTGATTGTTGTCAGCATAGAGATCAAACATCAAACTGTGTTTCCTGATTATATCACCTATTGGAAGGATATATATGCTGAAAAGCAAAGGCCTCAGAACTGAACCCTGCGGAACACCAACGTTAACTGCTGTCGGAAGTGAGGTAACCTCGCCAATCTTGACAACCTGTTCTGGCGGACAGATAGGATTTGATCCAAGAAAGAGCCTTTCCTGTAACACTGAGTCTTTCCTCCAAGTGTGAAAGCATTAGGGTGTGGTTTAGGGTGTCGAAGGCTGATGAAAATCAGAAGGGCCTGCTGGTCCATTGCCCTCATGACGTCGTTATGGACATGAACATGCGCAGTCTCTGTGCTATGTTTTGATTTGTAAGCACTCTGGAAGGGTTCAAGCAGGTTGTTATTGAGTAGGTGTTCTTCCAAGCCTTGGTGAAACAATGTTCTCCAAACATATTGAAATGAGATTAGACAGATTAGATACTGGCCGGTAGGTTTTTTAACTCCGGATTTAAATTGGCCTTTTTAATGAGAGGAGTTACGACTGCCTGTTTGAAAACTTTGGGAACCGTGGCATCCCTCAATTGGATAATGGACTGATGAGAGAATCCAACCTTTAAATATCCATGTTGGTATGGCTTCCAGGCTAGAAGCTTCTTTAGCTTTGGATATAACTTTGGATCTTATTTATTCCGGATAGGTTAAGAAGAGTTCAGACAAATATGTACTACTGAAACATTACTCATTGAAATCCTGATTCTGCAGAGTATGTCTAATATCAAGTTCTTGTCGTATATCCCATATCTTGGCGTGGAAGAAAACGGCAAATGTGTATCCGCTTCAAGAGACTGTTCAACAAGGAATATATGACAACAGAACAAGGATGAATGACAACAGAACTAGACTTCCGGGGAGCATGCTTATCCAGTATTCGTGATAAGCAAGTAGTAAACACATCAGTCTTGTCATCAACTCCACAAGAATCAGCGAGTGACTGCAGCAGCTCAAAACTGTCTAATATCTATATTTCAAGTCTTCCTGTAGCTAATTTCTTTTCTCACTTGCTTAGGTTTAGTATGTTTGACAGAGCACTGAGTAATTGAAAGATCAGATATCTGTTTGTAACTAACATCAACGACATCCAGAATATCACAACTATCTTTGGTTATGACTAGTTCTAGTGTATGGCCTGATCGATGGCCTCACCAGACACGTGCTGTATGAGGCTGAAAGATGTCACAGAAGGATTTAGCAACGGAGTCAGACAGAGAATCAACATTGATATTGAAATCCCATATTAGAGTGAGTGAGTGAGTATGGTTTTACGCCGCTTTTAGCAACATTCCAGCAATATCACGGCGGGGGACACCAGAAATGGGTTTCACACATTGTACCCATGTGGGGAATCGAACCCGGGTCTTTGGCGTGACGAGCGAACGCTTTAACCACTAGGCTACCCCACCGCCCCAAATCCCCTATTAGAACCAGATGACCTGGTTCAAGGGCAGTTTTGACAAGGCTAGACTAACATTCAGGAACACTTGCCACATGATTTTGGTCGCTGAAATTTTGGGAAGAAAACACATTCCACTGCGTTATACTCATCATCGTAATTTATGTGATCGTTTAACATCCATTTCATTACCTAGCTCTTCCCGGAACATTCCTGCATCACCGATTTATGTCTTACAGAAAGTTTTGTTCACTAAATTTCAAAGAAATAAGAGATATTTTACAAAAATAATAGTTTTGTTTCGTTTTCACGATGAGCCTGCCAATGTTCCCATATGGAAACATACCTGTATCTCTGGAACCGTTCAAGATATCAGTATGATATTTTGGACTTTTCTTAGTTACACCATTATAAGACTCTCATGTAAATTTGAAGTGTTTCCGACAATGGGATCTAGTACCGGTATGATAAAGGTTAAAGTGGCTATTTTCCTAAAATGTGTTACCATATCATTATTTATCCAGTTTTAAATGGATACAATTTCCAATTATAAATCAACGTTTAAGTAAAGTTGCGAATTTTTGTGATCCTTAGCAAAGTGTGGCCTGTTGATGGAAGCATTACGAATTATGACAGATGCTGTTGGGCAATATTATGAGAGTCGTGGATATTGTACGGCTCTTCAATTGAACGAATATCCATTTATCTTCAGTGTAAGCACGTGTGAGTGGCTGTGGGGTGAGGTGAGGTGAATTGGGTTTAACGTCGTGCTTGAGAATATTTCGCTCATATGACGACGTGCATGCGTGTGTATGTGTATGTGCGGCTGCTTGGACTAGCCCAGACTGAAGCTGATTTATAGTGCTAGCCCACTGAGATACCATGCCGCAGTGAAGCATGAATACCCCACTCAGACACATTATACTGACTCCGAGTCCTTGATGTACCCATTAATACCGAGCGCCAGGCAGGGACCAACAAGTACCATATTTTAACGTATTTTGGTATGACGCGGTCGGGGATCGAACCCACGATCTTCCGCTCTGCGGGCGGACGAGTGGCTGTGGGAGAGTGAGTGAGTGAGTTGGATTTAAGCCCCATCAGCAATATCACGTCGGGAAACACCAGAAACGGCCTTCTCACATTGTACCCATGTGGGGAATCGAACCCGGGTCTTCGGCGTGACGAGCGAACGCTGTAACCACTAGGCTACCCCACCGCCCCGGTGTGGGAGGAGAGGCTCCATGTGATGATGATACAGGAGTGGGTAGTGGGGTAGGTCGGGAGGCTTACGTGGTGGGTAGTGGGTAGGTGGTGTGTAATAGATGGAAGGTAGTAAGTGTTGGTGAGATGTAAATGGTGGGTATTATATGGTAACCATTAGTGGTAGGTGGTGGGTAGCAGAAGGTGATGGGTAGTAGGCGGTGGATAGTGGGGTGGTGGCTGGTGGGTAGTGGGTGGTGAGGTATGTACTAGGTAGTGCTACGTGGTGGGTAGATAGTAGGTGATAGGTAGTAAGTATTGGGTAGTGAATGGTAGGGGATGCTGATAATAAACAATGAACCATATGGACCATGGCAAATCAAATTCCAGTTCAGGATGTTACCGTTATATTTTCTTTTCAGGGTTAGTGTTCGACTTTGATGCGCAGATCTGTAACTGGCCTACCAACGTGAAACCCCCGTGTGGAACCAACATAGACATCGTTGGCTGACTGTGTATCTAACATGCCAAATCAATATGACAGGAATAAAAAGTCTCGGTCAGCTCAGAAATATTCAAATACGACGGCTCTCGGCAAACAACTGGTTCTGGACCAGACAATGTAATGATTAATATTATTACCCACAGTGGTGTGTGGAGCCATATCCTTGATACGGAGTGAGTGAGTTTAGTTTTTCGCCGCACTGAGCAATATTCCAGCTATATGGCGGCGGTCTGTAAATAATAGGGTCTGGACCAGACAATCCGTTGATTGACAGCATGAGCATCGATTTACGCAATTGGGAACCGATGACATGTGTCAACCAAGTCAGCGAGCCTGACCACCCGATCCCGTTAGTCGCCTCTTACGACAAGCATGGGTTACTGAAGATCAATTCTAACCCGGATCTTCACGGTTCCTTGACACGGTATGAGCAACAGAGCTTCCAACCCCAAGGCAGGGGCGGTGGAGTAGCCTAGTGGTTAAAGCCTTCGCTCGTCACGCCGAAGATCCGGGTTCGAATCCCCCCATGGGTAAAATGCGTAAAACCAAACTCACTCACTCCAACCTCAAGAGATTATATATTATTTATTATTTATATGTTGAGATGCCGGGATCCAAGGCCGTGGGCCCAGGTCGGGTCCAGGCTGAAATCTGGGAAGGGATGGGGGCGTATGTGGTGTGGGGTTTAGGGGGTGGAGGTGTATTCACGATGTATTCACTCATGAGCAACAAAAGCTACAGTCTCAAGCCAAAGGCGTGAGAGTTGGAAGGGATGCAGCAAAGCGGTACATCAACCGAACCTGGCCATCCGATGTATGTGGTCACCAGTTACGACCAGCATGGGACATAATCTTTCAAGCCGGAATCTCATTGTACTTGTGAGTGAATGCCGTTTAAAAGAACCATCAGCTCTTCTCCATATATGAAAATCGCCTGTATAAGATCGAGTCCTAAGCAAACAAAGAGCAGACTGAGGGCATGAGAATCCCGGAAAGCGACAGAGCCAGAATACTCAATAAGTATTGGCTAATTGGAACCATTTCAGCCCTGCAAGCTCGTGGCCTTTCTGTCAATTTGAAACCATTTCTTTCCCCGAGTTTGCAAAAATAAATACATACGCCCTCAGCATTGTCTGTCTTCCCAAGATATTACTGTAGACCCAAATAATTAAGATAATCAGCTCGAGTAAACGACTGATATGTATTTTTGCATAAATTATCTTTTACCAGAGTTGCATAATTCACATGTAATACATCCTTCAGAAAAAGGGAAACGTTCAGGTGATACTCAGAATGTTTATTGCGTTCATTCATGAAACATTCAATGAAATTGCAATATTTTTGGCTGACCAATGTTAGTTACATGTTCGTTATGGCCCCATTTCACTGGGCTACGACCAATCATGACTACCCCGATTAGTACCGATTCGTCACCTACGACGTTATCGTTCTCAATCGGCCATTTTTTTGTTTATATTTTCCTTTTCTACGTAGTATCAACGGTAAACCTACGTAATGGACGATGAAGAGACTGTAGATTTACGTATAAATGCCGAGAACACTGCGATTAAGCACCCGTTGTTGATACGATTTCACCCAGTATTGGCCGATAGGCTACGTTTAAATCACGTTTCTGCGGCGATATATCTACGATTCACTCCCGATTCCTCACGATGCTCGCCGACACAGTGATGTAAGGTTTACGATATAGAAGACTCATTGCCGTATCTGCCGATTACACGCGAAGATTGCGGATCGACGCCGAGTAAAGTAAGTATAATTGCCGAGTAAAACACGTAAAATCGGCCTCCAAACAACAAAATAGTCCCGATTCTGGGCTATAAAAGCTGACGATGACAGCCGATTCTTATTATCTAGCAACATGATCACAGCTGCACAACTAACTCTTCTGCTGCAACAACATATGGGATTGGAGACAGATATCTATCAATACAGAAGGAACCAGGCACCAAAAAGAAGAAAGCAGAAACGGTTTTGGGTTGAGGTTGGAAAGAAGATTGAACTTTGGAAACTATGACAATCTTCTATCTGACCTCAGATTCGAAGACACGTCTACTTTCTTCAACTAACTGCGAATGCCTCCTGATATGTTTGATGAACTGCTTAATTCCCTGTCTCCCAGACTTACCAAAAAAGGCACCAACTTCAGGAAGCTCTGCACCCTGGTCTGAAGTTACCATAAGTTATTATAAGGCACCTAGCCTCTGGAGACAAGTACCCCTCCCTCTCCTACCACTTCAGAGTGTCAAGACCCACCATAGCCATCTTTCTTCCAGAGGTGTGCCAAGCCATCGTAGACCACTACAAGGATACAGTAATTGCATGTCCTGTCACTCAAGGGGATTGGAAGACCATCTCCCTCATGCTGTTGGTGCCCTCGATGGAAAACACATCACGATTCGCAAGCCACATAGTAGTGGAAGCCTCTACCACAACTACAAGGGTTTCTTCTCCATTGTCCTGTTGGCCCTTGTAGATGCTAATTACAGATTTATATGGGTCATATTTCAGATGCACAAATCTTCAATGCATCAGAGTTGAAGGAGTGTACAGAAGATGGCAGCATATGCTTTCCCGAACCTGAACCATTGCCAAATGATGATCTGGATATGCCTTACTTCATACTTGCAGATGATGCATTTGCCCTTCGTCAATATCTGATGAAGTCCTACTCAAGAAGAGGTCTGTCAGAAGCTGACCTGATTGCCAACTACAGGATCTCGAGAGCAAGGAGAGTCGTGGAGAATGCCTTTGGTATTCTTGCAAACACTTCGCAACAGGGTCCAGATGTGGTTATGTTTATGGTTGAAGCTGCCGCGTGCATCCTGGCTGTCTTCTGGTGGTGAGGCGGGTGATCATCTCACCCTCTTCCTGCTGGCGGTTCTCTTTGTTCTTGCCATGTTTCCATTACAGCAGTTGAAATTGGAGTGATGTTGACGTCGATCGCCGGTGCTTTTATACCTTTTTCTGTCAGTCTGATGTGAATCGTGCAAATCGTGTGTAAAGCGTGAACATTACGTAAGTGGATCGTGTCGTATTTGGGAGGAATCGTCCTGATGCGCGGCTTTGACAGCTCTGCTTTGTTAGGCAATTAGCTTGTCGGTTCCATGTTGGGGATGTGTCGGGAGTTAATCGTGGTTGATCGGGAGTGAAGCGTGGCATTACGGGGATGACACGTGGCCGTTTCTGCCTCTCAATAATGGTACGATTCCTTCACGCTTCACCTATGGTTAAGCCGATTGCTCATGATGCTTGCCCATGAACTCCCGACACACTGGCGACTATCCCGATCAGTCACGCATAACTTACGACTTTTTTCAATCGGCCCATGTGTTTGAACTTGTTCAAAAACTTGGGCCGATTCAAAAATAACCTCCAGATTATGCAGACACACTCACGTATCTTGCTGACTGACTGACTGAGTTTGGTTTTACGCCGCTTTTAGCAATATTCCAGCAACATCACGGCGGGGGACACCAGAAATGGGCTTCACACATTGTACCCATATGGGGATTCGAACCCGGGTCTTCGGCGTGACGAGCCAACGCTTTAACCATTAGGCTACCCCGCCGCCCCCACGTATCTTGCTGATCTCCGCCGACTACTCCAGGTATATTTCCGACATTATACGATCGCTGGCAATTTTTTTAAAATGCAATCGGGACCGATCGCAGTCCAGTGACATGGGGGTATTAGCTAATGTAGTCCACCCACGCAATATTTTTAAACCTTTGTAGATTTACATAGCATCTTTTTTGAGGGACTGAATATTACAATTGCAACATGGTCATAGGGCCCCTTGAAGCTGGAGCGTCCTCTTCCCGTGAAGATCCGGGTTAGAATTGATCTTCAGTAACCCATGCTTCTCGTAAGAGGCGACTAACGGGATCGGGTGGTCAGGCTCGCTGACTTGGTTGACACATGTCATCGTATCCCAATTACGTAATGTTCAAGGAGAGATTGAACAAAGAGAGTTTGACGTGGGTTGCCGTTGTAGATACCATTTGCGGATGGTGTGATGTACGGTGAACGTTTTGTCACTGTGGCAGACCTACTGAGGGTGTACTCAACTGATATGTCTGACTTTGTCATCCCAATACTAGAAACGTGATGTACGGTGAACGTGTTGTCACTGTGGCAGACCTACTGAGGGTGTACTCAACTGATATGTCTGACTTTGTCATCCCAATACTAGAAACGTGATGTACGGTGAACGTATTGTCACTGTGGCAGACCTACTGAGGGTGTACTCAACTGATATGTCTGACTTTGTCATCCCAATACTAGAAACGTTATGTACGGTGAACGTATTGTCACTGTGGCAGACCTACTGAGGGTGTACTCAACTGATATGTCTGACTTTGTCATCCCAATACTAGAAACGTTATGTACGGTGAACGTATTGTCACTGTGGCAGACCTACTGAGGGTGTACTCAACTGATATGTCTGACTTTGTCATCCCAATAGTAGAAACGTGGGGTACGGTGAACGTATTGTCACTGTGGCAGAAGTACTGAGGGTGTACTCAACTGATATGTCTGACTTTGTCATCCCAATACTGGAAACGTGATGTACGGTGAACGTATTGTCACTGTGCCTCACATTGACATTTTAGGTTCGAATCCCTGATGGGGGTCCATCGAAAAACAATACCAGGATCTGTGAGGTGAGGTGAAATTGGGTTTAACGTCGTGCTTGAGAATATTTCGCTCATATGACGACGTGCATGCGTGTGTATGTGTATGTGCTGCTGCTTGTACTAGCCCAGACTGAAGCTGGTTTTATAGTGCTAGCCCACTGAGATACTATGCCGCAGTGAAGCATGAATACCCCACTCAGACACATTATACTGACTCCGAGCCGACCAGTCCTTGATGTACCCATTAATGCCGAGCGCCAGACAGGGACCAATAAGTACCATATTTTAACGTCCTTTGGTATGACGCGGAGGGGGATCGAACCCGCGACCTTCCGCTCTCCGGGTGGACACTCTTACCACTTCACCACGGAGGCGGTCACCTGGATCTGTACTTAACGTAGAA